TTATTATCTAGTTATATTGACAATAGGAGATTTTCTGAGCAGTTTCTGGAACAGAAGTGTCATCCAATCGCTGAAAAGGGGAATTCTTGCAAAAATCTCCAAATGTGAAAACCATTTGATACCAAATGACAGCACTACCTTTTCTATGGTGTTCCTCAAGGTCTTTGTGTCTTAATGTGGTATTTTGAAGTTTTTTTTAAAATTGTTTTTATCAATTCTTGAAAGGTAAAAAAAATTGTTAAATTTAGCACCAAATCTGTGTAACAACAGAAATTGCTGCAACAACTTATGGGTCATAAGTGAGCATGGGAATGTCCATCAAATTGTTGTCAGCCCTTTCACACTATTACAATCTATTTTAATGACTTCATTCATTCTTTTGTTCATGACTAGAACAACTTGACACCGCCTCCTTAATGTGGCTCTCTAAGGGTTAACACATTACTAATTAAACATGTTCTATTCTTTTAATGAGTTACTTGTTGTCTCAATACTCCAGAACATTTTAGTTGACTTTTACTTTCACTTGCAATAGGTTGGTTTGTTTTAAATATGGCTAAATAGCTATACTTTGGAATGGACTTTGAGTAGTGACGTTATTCGTGCTGGAGAGATAAGTGACTGAGGTGTATCTGAGGAACTGTGCCAGTCTCATTCCTTTGAGCCACCGGCCAGGTTTCCACTCACATTACCAAAATGCATTATAGATGAGGCGGGTCCAGTTGCTCATCTCGTGAGCTCTGCAGGATAACTGGGTCACATTAGGAAAACAGTCAATGAGCAAACTAGAGTTATTCGTACACCTGTCTCAAGAAATAAGACTGATCTCTGGAAGTATTCAAAGGATGTTGTAAAATTGTAATTTTTGTAAAAAAAAGAAAAAGAAAAAAAATAATTCACACAAAAATATAAATAACCTCAACTAGGCCTACTCAATCAAATTATACTTTATTAAAATAAAAACATTGCATTCTGAGTGTGTAGAAAAGACAAATCCATGGCTGTGTCTTACCTGCAGTCAGCGCTGCTTCGGCCTCATGCTCTGCTCTTCTTCATCACTCCCTCACTGTTTCCATCAACCTCTGGCCCTCCCTCTTGTTGGCTGTTGCTAGGAGACCTCCAAGCCGTCTCCGGTTCCCTCTGTACTCAGTGTGCGCATCCACAACTGACATTCTTCTTGGTCTTCAAGCTGTGTACTTTAAGGTTTACTTGGAATCCTGCTGCTGTGTTTTTAGAGAATGCCACTTCGAATGATAAAGAGTCAGAGCGGGGAGCAGATTTATTGAAAACACAAACTACTTGAGGAACTCCTATGAGCTTTTTGTGCGACTAGGCCTGGAACTAGCAATCATGTACTTTATCTGTTAATCCAAAGATTATCTTCTCAATTGACCGATTGATCGCTTCGTCCGGAAGAAATGCCCATCATTAGTTTCCAGAGTCCATGGTGATGTCTCCCAATATATCCAAAACCTAACGATTTAGGCATCACAGAAAACCAGCAAATATTCATGTTTGAGAGGCTGGAATTAGTACATGTTTGCTTTAGACAAAGTACTTTAAATGTTGTCGTTGTCGTCTCCAAACAGCAGGACGAAGGGCTCAGGCTTCTGGACTGTTTGTAGATAATGTGGCATGTTTGTTCCAACCTGCAGAATGAATCAAATATTGAGTTATATTAATATAATATTAGTCTTTGTTCTACAGTACTAGGTGTCAGAGGACTCTGGCTATGAAGATTGACTGCAAACTGACAGGTTGAACGTGCACAAAGCTAGACCTGGTCTATGTAGAGTTAAACCAACGAGGACAACTCCCCTCTCACATCTAAAAAACACACAAAAACAAAACGGATCATGATGATAACAATGATGTGTATTTTACATTAACACTGATTCTGCCATTTTTCAGCTCAAGGCTTTTGACTAGAAACACAACCCTGTGTCACAATTAAAACTAACCATCAACACACTTAAGTCAATTACAATGAAGCAAAGCTAAGAGCGATGCTCACATGATCACACCCTGTGGTTCCTCTTGGATGTGACTGATTAATGGATCTGTAATATCACAAACTGTGGATGATGACAGAGCATTAGCTTCACTGTGTTTGTATAATATATTGAAATGTTTACTGAATGAGATGGAAAATGGGGAGTTTTCTTCAAACCTGTGTGTATCACTGTTTTATATGTTTTATAAACTACTGGACGTCTTAACTTCCCTTTGGATAATAGAAGTATCTATCCAATTGTATACGGTACATACTAATCTACATAAAATACCATTTTTCCAGCTGGTTTACAGAAAATGATACAATACTTGCAGGACGGACGTCAATCCAAAACTATCTTTAGGATGCTGAATGAAACCTTTAAATCATGTAGCTGTAAAGAAGCTTCTCCGCTTTGTAATTTCAAAATGCACAACCACAAGACAGAAAACATAATTCATGCACTTTCAGGCTCCTCGTTAGCTGAATTTCTTTTTACTGTAGCTTTAAAATCAGTTTAAAAATCATGGACCCAGTTCTTGACCTGAATGTGGAATAGTATACTTTGGCTATTGACGTTTTCAGTGAACACCAATTTTAAGACTTAATTCATATTTTGGTTATTGCCCTATTAATATTAATATATGTTGATAATCTTATTGATGTTCATAATATTATTAATGTCAATAGTTTAGTTTTCATACTTTCCGATAATCACACACGCTCCTGCCAGATCCCAACAGGAGTACGAGGCATTCCTCCTTGAAACGATCAATCATGACCTGCAAAGATCAGAAACATATCTTTGGTTTTGAGGAACAGGTTTACTCTGATGGAAACAGTCGATGGTCTCCCACAGGTTTCTCAATCCAGGATGTGGAAACGTCTAAACATGACACTACAAACACCTTCATTTGAGATTCCAGTGTGCAGCAGTTTAAGCATGCTAAATAGATCTAAATGGATGAATAATAAATGAACACTGCTTAGTGTTTGTGCAGTGAGCGTGTTAACATGCTTACTGGTTTGTTTCATCATCAGATAATTCTATTACACACAATAATGTATATATTTTTTACATTCTAGTTTTTACTGTTTTTACAGGTAATACTGGAAAGTTCTACCTTTTCAGGGCTCTAAAAAAATTTTAATTAAAAAAAATTGAGAAAAAAAAATTGAAATCCCTCTGGTTGAATGTATATCCACACAATCTTTGATGAGTAGATGTTACTCATGAAGGTTGGGAGCCCCAGTGGAGCTCTGATGTGTGGGCGACATGGAGCACAGATTAAAGTACGTACAGCAACAAGACGACAAAGAAAGGACACCGGGACAAATGCGATATTGCTAGGCAAAGAATTTATAAATTAATAGAAACATTCCCTTTGTAGTGTTCTTCAGACAGCATTTTGCCCACTTCGTATTTTTGTCCTTTGTTTTTTTCTAATGATTTCAAAATATAGAAAAATATTTCTGACATTCATCATTACATTATTTTTAGCATGATTTTCATTCTTTCCTGATGGCTTTTTCACATACATCTGCATTTTAGACCCATTTTTTTTTTTTTTTTTTTTTTTTTTTTTAACAGTATTTACACATTACATCAATCCACGTCATGTTTCAGCCTCAAACGGGGGACACCAGAGCATGTGTTGCATAGATCATAGGGGAGAAATCCGTCAGATGGGGGGGGGGGGGGAGTCGAAGCTTTTTAAAGAAAAAGTAGAGAGAAGATTCGGTACATCCCGTGATCAAGCATAAAATCAAAACTTGAAAAATCTTTTTCAAAACTTGTGAAAGATGTAAGAAAACAGCTGTGAAAGTCCCTTCAGATGAACCGTACACTATATTGTCAAAGCCAAACAGACGGCCAACTTAAAAATACAAAACTTAACATGCACTCAATCAAGGCCCGACTAAAAACAACGGTGAATTCGAAAGGATCCGATTATAGTTTCAACTCACTGAATTGTAGTGTTCAAGTATATCCGTCTGAAACACGGACAGCACAATAAAAATAAAAAAACATTTTCTGAAGCTTAGCTTTGGGTTCACCACTCACCACCATCTTTTGTCAGTTAACACAATGATCAAGCAAATAAACTTTGAGTCTATAAGTAGAGCTGAGACGAAAGGCCTCTCACATTGAGGCCTTGACTCCTTACTGTAAAGGCATACATACATACATACATACATCAACTGATTTTAATGATTGTTTTTGTTTAAAGGTGCAGTGTGTAGGATTTGGCAGCATCTAGTGGTGAGGTTGCAGATTGCTTCCAGCTGAAACTTCTCCTTTGGCCAACGTGAAACCGCAAATGTCCCAATCTACAGCCTTATTTCTGGGCTTTAGGACCCCCCCGTCCCCTTAAATGCTACACACTGTTCCTTGAAGACGGTTCATTTACTTGGTTTCCGCTACTACAGTAAGATGTTTCTGGTGGTTATCAAAGGAACTGGAATTAAAGACCTTTCTGTGTGGGCTGCACAGCATCCAGCCGTCGTAGTTGCTGCATATTTAAAAATAATAACTCTCCCAAATGTAAATTTAAAGACTTAAATTCAGTATTGATCCCTTCTGGTGCCTGAACAGCTGGAGGACTCTACCAGAACAGGAAGCCATTTGCTGCCTTTCTTGTGGAGTGTGAAAAACAACTTCCATAAAGCTAGATAATCCATCACGGTAACCACACCGCCTCCACTGCATTTGCCAAACTCCCCCGTCTGTTTTTCTTCCCACTGTGTGGTAGTTGCGTCTCCCCATATCAGCGCTGCACTAGAACAAGCTCAGTCCGTCACCTGACAACTCAGGAAGAAGTCAAAGTCCCCGTTTTGAAATAATCCCTTATAAAAACATCACGTTACTTACGTTCCTCAAAATGAAATACGAGTAAATATTGACAAAACAAGGAACAGTAAGCGGTGAACAATGACTGCAGGAAGTGTCGACGGGTGTGCATGGGCAAAAAAAAAAGTTTAGCATTTCAGGGTTACTGAGCAGCTCCATTTTGAGAACACACCTGGCCCAATGAGCTTGGTGAGGACAGTTTCATCCTCATGGTTTCTATTCTTTAACATTTTCCTCGTATCAAACGAATACGAGGAATTACTTTTAATGAGACTGTATTATGCATCTTTTTTGTGGGGTTACTAGAAAGCACTTATAAAAAAGTGCTTTGTGAATATGGATTATTAGATTACATGCCATGAAACTGTCTCGAGTGCTTAAACAGAGACAGTGGATGGAGATGGTCTTTGGTGTCCACGAGTGTGTCACAGAACTACATACAACTGACGTGCCTGAACGACTGAACCGAGGAAGCAATAGCATTGACAAAATACCAGCTATCTAACAGAACCGTTTGTAAAAAATAATTTAGTTAAAAAAAAAAAAAAAAAAAAGACAATCTTGAGTGTGAAAGCAGAGGACCCTGGTGAGGAGTGAGAGCCTCTGGCCTTCTTAGCTGGGAAAAGGAGACATTAATCAGGCTAGATGAACAGACTGTTGGACCGATGGCAGCAAGTAAATTCTCTACCGATTTCATTAAGCGGGAGCAAACATTCAGTCTGAGTCTTAGTCACCGGGAGGACTCACTAACCGCATGGAAGCTAATTTAAAGGGGAACTTTTAAACCTGCTCCCTATTCCACATGTTTCTGTGTCCAAGTGAGTAATTGTGACAAAGAGGTTTTTATAATTGGTCCAGTATCAATGGAGAATGCTGCATATTTCCTAAATGAGATATTAAGATGATTTCGTCAATGTGGACACACAACAAGAGACAGACCGGATCAGAGTCTGTGTAATGTCGTCAAACACAGAGTTCTCCCTCAATACTAAATGGACCAATTTCAAAAGGAATTGTCCGAATTAGTCACTCAAACATCCAAACAAGTTACCCTTTAGTGCTCAGCACTCTCACACAAACCAAAGAAAACTTACCCTAAACGAACTAATTATAAATCCGGCCTTGATTCGTATGCAGAGACTCTCGACTAACGGTGTTACGAAACGCGTCTAGAAAAAGTCCATAGAAAAGTGGAACGGAGGAGGACATTTACAAACGTGACCAACGACGAGCTGGGGAGGCGACGACGACTTGTCTGGATGAAACTGTTGTAAAAAAAAAAAAAGATGTTCAATCTCAAAGATTAAGATGGCAGGATGGCAGGCATTGAGAGAGAATGGCTAGTATGTGCGGGGCACAGTTAGATGGATCATACAGAGGAGTCATACAGGCGATGCTTCACTTTACAAGTCCTCCATTTCTTAATAGTTTTATGAAAATCATAAAGAAACGAACAGACCTGTAAAATAAAGAATTACCATCTTACAAAACGAACTACCAACACGTGTTGGTAGTTCCAGCGCCTCAGCCGGTTGCTGAACATCGAGGAAAAAAAGAAAAAAATAGCGAAAGAGAATTTCGTCTTTTTAAACACTGTGTGGCTGCGAGCTCATTCAACCTCAGATGCACAAACATTTACACAAATTAAATGCCGATCAAAACACTGGCACATCCTCGCATGCACATTTATACTTGGTACCTACAAACCAAATTACACCGAGAACAAAATGGACGTTAGTGTTAAAAGAAAACAATAACAATAGCAGCATGTTAAGTTCCAGGAGGGAACAGTTTGCGTGGTCGGTTTGGCCCGTCTCTGCCAAAAGAGACAATATTTGGAAGCTAAATAAAAGATGGTAAAACTGAGAATGAGATTGCTTCTTGCAAGCTTCACTTTTAGCTCACAACAAAGACCTGTTTAACAGAAAAGTCAGTGAACGCATCGTAACCTTTTTTCCAAATGTCAGTTCAAAGTAAATGGAAATCCTGCCAACGCTCCCAAGTAAAGAAAGAAAAAGAAACCTTTCCCGTCTCGCCGTTTTTTCTGTCTGACTGTCTTTTAAAAATAATAAAGACTAAATGACACATAAAAAGGTACGACTTGCAAAGCGGCGCTGCCTTTTCAAAACCCCACGGCCTCCTTTATGGCAACAGGTGAATGGCTCACTGATGGCCTGGAGAGTTGGCGTCACCCTTTTTTTTTTTTTGGAAAGGAGTTCAAATAAACCCCCGGCAGACAACACCTGCTCCCACGCAATGCTGATATGTCTAAAAATGGTGCAAATGCAAAAGACAAACAAAATATTAAAAAAGGAAATAAAAAAATGGTATTCATTACTCAAAGTTTTTTTTTTTCCAGTACTTGTGTTGGCCATGCTGATTCACAGGAGAGAACGCAACACTCTCCCTCACCTGCGTGTTACAGTTTTCAGAATAAAAGTGGACACTTGAGATGCTCCAAGGATCACTTACCGTTTCTCCCTATCGGATCGCTTTGCGGGTTGATTGACGCGTCTACGCTTTCGATAGTTTCTTTCTGCCAAACTATTTTTGCTGTTTCGTTCCAATTTTGTTGAGGACGAAACCTCCTTCTCCTCTGCGCCGCCTGATAAAAAGCACCGTTTTTCAAACTTAAAACACAGAGAGACTAGCACCGGCGTGTGCACCTACTTCGTTTGTGTGTGGCTTCGGCGTGTCGCATTATGCCGTGACGCGGTAACGTGTATATACAAGCTCCTAAATCTCAAGCATTGACTGAGATCTTCTGTGTATAGAATGTAAATATAATACATGATATGCACAATGTCGTAGAAGTTTACAGATGACGGAATATTATTCCAGTCCTATAGGTATCCTATAATGATTTTGGTAAAAAAAAAAAAAAAAAAAAAAATCTTCTCAGCCGTGTCGTTGCACGACGACTCTACTTTAGTGACAGAAAAGTCTCGGTGCTCCAGTTCGTCCTATCGATGGGAGAATCCTACTGGACTCATTATTATTTTTACAGCCAAATCAAAAAAAGAAATGGTCGGCTAAGAGCTAGATTTGAAGAGTCCCTCTCTCGTCTATTCCTCGGCCTCCCGGCTGTGGGGGAAAGGCAGAGTGACGGCGTGCTCTTGAGCCAGGGCGGCCAGCTCCTTGAGGAACTCGCAGAAGATGACGGCACAGTAGACGGCGTTCTTCACCCGCAGCGCCTCCGCTTGCTTCTCCAGGCCGGAGGCCCCCCCGCCTCCGCCGCCCTTGAACAGAGCGCTGTGCAGCGATTGGCCGCCGTCCCGCACGTGCGCGAGGGCCAGCTGGGCGGCGTGGCGGGCCCGGGTCGGGCTGTTGGTGTGCCGGAGGATCAGGTCCCCGAGGGACGGCTTACGACTCTTCACTGGAACGAGAGATAGGAATAGAGTGAGCACGGTGCCAACAAGGAAATTAATCTGAACCCAAGGTCCACTTACTGGGTTTTTACAGAGCGTTCAAAGACGACCGAAAGCTCTGGAACAAAGCTACTTAGTGGATGTTGAGTTCAGATAATTTTGTTTGACATTCACATTTAGACTACTGCAACACTATTAAATTCTACTTCTTCCCAGAACAGATTTCCTCATTTCAGGGATTTTTGTGACATGAATTTTTTGAAACAAGGCAAAAAATGGAAATCACAAAAGTGACAAAAATGTAGAAAATTGTTTAAAGACGTTGATCTGTGTTGAAATAAAAAGGAGAACGTGATTTCACTAGCAGATTGATTCTTCTCTGCTTTCTGGTGTCATATCAGGCTCACCTCTTAAATTGTATACATTCATTTTAACAATTTCATTAGTGATTAACTCTTCATTTAATTATCTCTTTAAAATCTGTTCAACCAAACATATTAGTCATTGATTCAGGATCAAAGAGGAACACACTGACCACTAACCGTCAACCAACAGTTCAGTGACACAAGATGAACCAAACACAACCAGCAGGTCTGAAGAGAACCCAGACCCGTCCTACTCTGCCTGATACCACCCACCTACCCACCCACCCACCAACCCACACCCCCACCCCCACACACACACAGTAAATGCAGCTTCTCCTGCTTCCACGCTCACCTAATGAATCGGAGCGCCGCAGGGTTGGAACAGCCGCGGGCGAGTCGGCCCAGTCCACTTTGCCTCGGGCCACCAGGTACTGCTGGGCTTTCTTCAGCATGGCAGGGAAGTCCTCATGAGAGGCTGCGAACGCCTCGATGCGGTTCTTCACAGAACCTAGAACCTGAGGGGAGTCGGGGGGGGGGGGGGGGGGAAGGTTTTGATTGAAAGGCTTGTTTGTCGATTACTTGGTCAGTAACTACAGTATTAGTCATCCATTTACAGCATCTTTGAATATGGACAGGAATAGAATATAAATAAAGAAAAGTCTACGTAAATGCATTGTGGGCCTGATGCTTTTGGAACGGGAGTTAGCACAGAAGTGAGGTGGGCAGGAAGTGGACAACTATGCCCACGAATGGGAGACTAAAAGCTGTCACCAGTTCAAGCAGAAATGTACAAACTATTCTCCCCAGTCTGTGCCGAGCATCCACTTTAGAAATGTAATGCAAATCCTGGGTCAACGTGTCGCAGGTTTTTGCATACCTGGATCAGCGACTTGATGCTGGGCTGGAAGACCATGTTGGTGTTGAGCAGGAAGGAGCGTAGGAGGGGCTGAGGATAGCAGGCCAGCTGGGCCACGATGCCCGTGAGCAGGATGTTGACGTACAGCGAGTTTTGGAGCATGTTCTCCAGCTTGGCAAACAGGACCACCATGAACGGACCTGCACAGGAACACAACTTCAGCTCAGCTGCATGGGAACAAACTATGGATGGTCTGTGTACAGCGTTATTGAGAATACCAAATTCAGGAGGATGACACTGACCCAGGACACAAAATAAGTCAGCATCATTTTTCTAAAAATTTTGTATTGCGATTAATCGCATGATTTTTTTGCGATTAATTGCATTGTTATGAGCAAAATTCAATAATGAATTCAAAAGTAGTGTATTGCGCACTTTTATTTTAAAAGTACTGCTATATGAACAAAAGTGCAATAACATTTGGTTTGCAAACACTTTAAACAAATAAGGTTATTTTTAACAGCAGTATTCCCTTTACACAGTAGCAGTTAAAATACAGTTATGATTCTGATACTAGATATTCAGCCGGTGTTGACAACTTTATTTTCATGTGTATAATAGATGCAATTTGAAATATACACCGTGAAAACTGCAAACCTCACGTCATGTTTTTTTTGTTAAATTCTCACTAGCGATAACTAAATGATATGCTTATTATACATATTCCAAACAAAAACACTTTAAAAACTCTAAAAAAAGAATTTAAATGAATAATTTATTTTTTCTTTTTTTGGTATTTTGGTCAGACACATATGCAACGCTGATTACCGTAATATGTGTGGTATTTGTTATAAATGTACGTTGGTACATAGAGGGTGATAAGAAGCTGTACATGGAGGGACTTAGGACCCAGGGGAATGTATGTGAAGGAAACAGGAAGAGATGCCACACAAACAACTGTTCACCGCTAGTTGCCGGCCGGCCGGTTCTTGTGTTAAAAATGTCCACTTAATAATAAAAAGAAAACTGCGTTAACGCGCGATAAAATAATTGTCAGTGTTAATTAATGAATGCAATAACTTGCCCAGCACTAAAAAAAAGAAAGAAACACATTCATTATGCATAATTGCGTAACTGGGCATAGCTTAAAAAAAAAAAAAATACAACCAATATAGTCGCACTTGTAACAGTTGCCCCTCCGTAAATAAAAAGTCCAGGTTGAAAACACACACGTGCAGCAACAGAAAGCGTCTCACCTGTGTACGGCTGAGATGTGGGCTGATTCAGCGGTCTGGCAGGACTGCAGAGGCCCACCACAGGCCCGTCTCCCTTCGTGTCGCCCGTCGGCTTCGCCTCCGGTACCGAGGACAGCTGCTGTTCCTCCTCCAGCTGCTGCTGCCGCCGCTCGGACGAACGGCCTTCTGTGGCGGTTTCCTCCTGCTGGCAGGCCGCTCTGCCGCGCTCCCTCACCCGGTCCTCCAGCTCCCTCAGCTCCTGCGTGAAGGCCTCGATGCTGATGCCCTGGCCGTTGGAGTCCCCGGGGTGCTGCGGCTCTCCCGGAGCCTGCTCCAGCAGCTCCCGGATGAGACTGTCCACGGACTGTTGTGTCTGGTTGGCTTCTAGAAGATCGGAGGACGCGAGGCGCGGGTTCGAGGCGTCGCCGGCCTGCGGTTTGGCGTCTGACGTCGGCTGGGCGACGGGGCTTTGCGAGGAAATCGGATTGGGGCGAGGCGATTTGGCGTCGCTCATTTCGCTGTCGTTAAAAATGGACGCCGGCAGAGCAACGCAGCTTTGTGAGGAGCAGGTGAGGAGGGACCCATTCTGATTGGCGTTTTCATCCAAATACTGCTGCTCCCCCAAGTCCCTTTTCACTTTCTTCACCTCCAGTCCTCGGTCCCGGTTGTCTGAGCACCCGTCCCCCGTCCCCGTCGTTCCGTTATACATGGCCTGGTAGCTAACAGTGACGGCAGAGGTGGGGTTGTGAGGTGCTGGGGAGGAGGCGGCGTGGGAGGCCAATACAGGGGTGGCTGAGGACGAAGAGGAGGAGGGGGGGGGGGACGAGACGAGGTAGAGGCTTCAGCAGGACCTCCTCCCTCTGCAGGCTGCGTTTCTTGGAGCGCGGCGTGAGGCTGATGCAGTTGTTTTTGCCGATGGTAATGTCCCACTCGCCACTGTCCCGCTCCGAGCTGCTCCACTCGGATCGCGCGGCGGCCACGACGGCAGCCCTCTGCTGGCCCGGGGAGGTGCCGCTGCTGCTGCTGCTGCTGCCGCTGCTGCTGCCGCTTCCTCCCTGCTGGAGAGAGAAATGCTCGGGGAACATAACCATGGCGGGGTTGGAGGCAGGAGGAGGCGGGGGCGGAGGGGCTGCGCTCGGCGAGGGGTTTTCCCCGTCGTAGGGGGCCGACCAGTCGCGGCAGGCCCAGGAGCAAACCTCGATGTCCCGATGGGAGTCCTTAAGGTACTCCAGGTAACCCGAGTCCCAGTCCAGACACTCCGTGTTGGCCTGCTGCTGGTGCATCGGGCTGTCGGGGGACAGAGGGCGGGAGGAGGAGGAGGCGCCCAACTGCAGCGGCTCCGTGCTGGTGGGGGTGGAGGGACCCCCGCCTCCCGGTCCACCTCCGCTGCTCTGTTGGCGGATGAAGAAGGCTAAGCGGGATGGGGTGCTGGGTCTGGGCGGCGCTGGGGACTCTGTGCTGGGACTGTTCACTACAGTAGGATGAAACAACATCATGTCAGGCGCAAGCAAAAACAAAAACTTAACAAACAGAACATCAAGTCAAAGTGCTTCATGTTCAACATGTCCATAGTCGGTCCAAAGCGTTCGTTGCTCACCTTTGGCCCAGAATGCACCGTCGTCGTCCCGCTCAGCGGAGGACGCCACGTTCAGCCGGCAGCACTCCGGGATCAGCGACAGGAACTTGTCGGCCGACTTTCCGTACAGGTCCGTCTCCCTGATAGCGCGACGCTGACTCAGCATGACGTGGGTACAGGGCAGTAGATACCTGGGGAGCAAACCACAGGTAAATATTTCCATACCACGTTCTCTCTTCGGCCATGTCGGCTGTTCTATCTTGCTGCTGACAGTTGAGCGGACACAGACTTTAGCTAACATGTTAACCAAGATTCTTAATTGTCCTGGTGAGAAAATACTGAGAGTAATAAGTCACAGGCAGCCGGATTTGCTGTTTTAGTCCTGGAGATAAAAATAGGCAAAACTGGCCTTGGAAGTTCACAAAGGGCTGGTAAAAAATATGTGGAAACAGCACATTCACTATCTAATAATAATAATACATTTTATTTGTATAGCGCTTTAAAAAAAAGGTACTCAAAGACACTTTACATGGTAAAAACAGAAACAGATGATCTGTGACTGTTTGGGGACAGAGGAAAACTAAACTACCTCCATGTTTCATTTTTCAACATTGTGCAAGGTAGGACACAAAGTGTGTCTCTTTGCCGTGTAAATGTTTTTCATATAAAATAAAATGGCTCATTGAAAGGACCAGGTGGTACTTTAACAAACAGATGATAGAGGGGGAGAAGTGCTCTGTGCTGTGGTGACAGAGTGACTTTGTGACACAAATATTAACCGTAAGTTCATCAGAGTATGGAGAAAAATATTCACTACTAGATCTATGTTTTTGCATGTCAAATGAGCAAATTAAAAAAACCTAACGCTTGGGAAGACGTGCCGAGATGTGCAGACGTACCTGAGAACGAGCTGCAGCATGACGTCTTCACAGTTCAGGGACAGGAGCGTCCTGAAGAGGCTCAGTGACACCATGCAGAGCTGCAACACACAGACGAGGAAAGCAGTGGGATATGATGTTTTTTTAATAAGCTGTGTTTCCCCCCCCCCCCCAAATCGTAAATTTGTGACACGTTTCACTTTTCCAGGTGTGTTCCAGTAATAAAAACGGTACTGCAGTATCAAAATGTTTTCATGCGAGTGACGGACAAAACTACCGCCGCTTTATTTCTGTTGTGCTTTCATTGTTGACCTCCACAAAAACAAAAGATTCCCTCAGAGTGAGTGAAATTTAAGATCATGTACGAAACATTTCACTGCGCATCGTTTTACCGACTGCAAACAATGTGCGATGCGAGAGCCGCCGGATGAAGCAGACTCGATGACATTTACTCTCCGCGATTGTTCTGGAAAACCAGATACTTCTGCATTCTGCCGGAGACGCTTTCAATCAATGTTTGCCCTCAGCCCACGCACCGCCCACACAACTGAGTTCACATAAGGGCCTTGAGGCTCCATCACACACACACACACACACACACACGTATGTGTATATATATAGTTATACCCGTGAATTGCTGCTGATGCGTGTGAGCAGCGTGTCCAGGATGGTGTCGTTGTCGTGGCGATGCAGCAGGATGAAGCGCAGGAAGGTTTTGAGGAGGGACGTCTCCGACACGCTGCGCAGGAACAGGTCCAGGTAGGCGGTGCTGGCGATCATCTCGTCCACCGACGACTACAAGACACACACAGAAATGTTGCATCAGAACGGCAAAAGAGATCAGCGCGATTATGTATAAGATGAAGGCGGCAAATGAGATTTTCGAAATGATTTTTTTTGCTTTGACTCCCACTCTTGACTCATCTGTTGAGGAAAGTCCAGCAACCAAACAAGGTCCTACAATGGTTCTCCTGCTAATTCACTTCAAATCACGATAACGTAATAATAATAATAATAATAATAATGTCTTCAAGTAACTGATCCTCCTTCTGCCTCCCGTCCCCCTTTTCCCTACCTTATGCAGAGCGGGGCCCATGACGGGTACAAGGAAGCCGTTGTGGAGGTAGTCCAGGAGCTGGGAGCGGACCAGCGGGTGAGCGACCTGCACCACGGCATTGCAGAACTCCAGTGAGTTCATGAACAGCACTAGCGACGACACGCCCATCCAGTCCTCCCGCCGCAGGGCATGCCAGTTGTCCCCGCGGACCTCAATCTTCCTGGGCAGGGAGGAGTAGAGAGCGCTGAGGCCCGTCGCCAACACCTGAGAGGAGACAAGAGACGGGCTTCAGACGGGGCGGGGGGGTCGAGGTGCTGGACTGTTGGTCTGACAAAGAAAGTTATCTCAAGATGTCAATGTCAATTCTCTGACATTTTCTAGACTAAATGATTAATCAAAAGAAAATAATCAGCAGATTAAGATTATAATAGGTTTTAGTTCCAGAGATGGCATGTTTATGTTTATGTCGGTTACATAATACTTGGCAGTATTCTCTTGTATCTTGGCTGAAACAAATTGTGTTTTCATTACACCGCTAATGACCCAACGGATACGCACAACAGCTCGCTAACCTACTGCAGCCTCAGTATGTAAAGACACGATGGGAAGAACGAATTAAAAAAAAAAAAGCCCTCATGTAACTTAAGTGTTTTGACAACAGCTGATGACATTCATGAAACTGTGTTTTTTGCTTGCTGCACCAGTGGAAACACACCATGCAGAAATATGGAGCCGTTAAGATTCGGAGAGGAGCGTTTGGGTCCTTGATGCCACCTCCGCCGGTCCTTGCTGCCTGTAAGTAGGTCAGACTGAAGCTGCTGGAAGGAGCACAGTGCAGAAAATAGCTGAGCCAGCTCTTTAACGCCAGAGGAGCATGATAACAGCACCGACCGCAGCTTTTGTACGGTGTGCAGACACACTCGACACGTGACACCGTCCGCTCTGGTTGCTGTAATTTGTGACCAGAGATGTTGTCTGTTGAGACTGGATGTAAAACGACGGGCGTGATATTCTAATGTATGCACACGCATATGAGTAGCTATCACACTCCAGCAGGTTAGTACAGCCTGATTTAGTAGAAATACTTTGTTAAAGTGCAATGAGCAAAACATGGCTCTTTAGTAGCACCTAGTGGCGGCTTGTAGAAACTACAACAACACAGGTGGACACAGCTCCCAATCTTCTTGTTTTTGATCATTTACAGACTGCAAAATATGTCAAAACACACATCGAATGGTTTTTCAATTTCATCTAAAAGTAAAAGTTAATTCATCAAAGTGATCACAAATTAATTAAAGACCATTTTTGTTTTTCTCTGCATCATTTCTTTAAGGTAAGCTGCTACATGAACTGCCGTGTTCCATCACGTGGTTACGTTTCAGTTGAATCCTTCGATGAGCTGTTCTGGTAGTTTAGACTACTGTTGATTTGTGTAAAGCAGCAGCTGTGTTAAGCAGTCTAAGGTGGTTAGTTTGTAAGCGCTCTGCAGGAAGCCTTCTAAGTTGAGGCAGAGCTGATAAGATGTAGATAAGGATTAACGGCTCGTCAGAGTACAAAGTCACATCCTTCCCCTTCCATTATCACACACCATCACTGATGCATCAGAATTACATTGAGTGCACAAACACATGCACACAAACGCACACGCACCCTCTCTTTCTTAAAAGCAGTGTCGAAAGTGAGCCTGGATCTCACATTATGGGCCGTCCTCAACCATCACATCATTGAAGAGCAGCTCACATTCATGTGTATGTAATACGGATGGGCCTTTTCTGTAAATAACAGAGCCGAGTATGATATTACGCATAGAAATGTGGACTACTGTTCAGTCAGCGGAGGTAAAAAGGGAATAAAACATTTCTTTGACCGTGGAACAGAGAGTGAAAGACGAGGTTGCACATTTTCAAATGTTTCTCTTTTTGAAAGAAGCTCATAGAGCTCTGCATGGTGGGTGGAAACTGAAAACGAAACTGAAGAATATCGAGGATGTTAATAAACCGTCAATCCCAAATGATCGGATCGCTGCCCTACTTTGTGAGTTATTAACAGCTGAAAAAGAGATTTAATTAATGCTTGAATATGAGTCATGACAATATATTGTACTGGCTTTCCAAGAGGTTTTGTACAAAGATTAATGTTGGCCCTATTCAGATATCAAAAAATGCCAAAACCAGGTTGGGAATAAGGTGGACAACAACTCAAACCTCATTGTTATTTTCTGTGGTTGTGTGCCTCCGCCAACCAGTCATGTAGCAGTTTACATCCATGTCTGTCCAAAATGTCATCACAGCATCATTTTTATTCCATCATACATTTGGGTGAAATTGTTGATTGTTGAGTTATGGCCAAAAAAACGTGTTAAATGAGGTTACAGTGACTCCTTTAGTTGATGTGGCGTTTGGGGACAAATTTCAAAAGATTTTCCTGACAGTGGTTTTTTTTTTCCAGTGATGATCGAGCTAGTGTGACGGACAGAACATGTTCCTCTCAGGGGAAGTCAATGGTCAGACCCACAACAGTTTCTAGCTCAAGAGGACAAAACTCACCCCAAAACCTCAGAGAGGAAGTAAACCTGCATTGCCGTATGAGCGAATGCAACCGACGCACATACACGGGTCCAAATTCAGCACCCTCCGTAGCCGCATCCTCGTCAGTTAATAGTTAATAGTTCTCATGGGCACCACGACTCACCGGGCAGAAGTAGGAGTTCTCGGCGATGTACCGCGCCACAGACTCGTTGCTGGCCGAGGCCGCCATGACCAGCAGCAGCGCGTCGCGGGCTTGCTGTCCGATGGCTCCGTCCCGGTGGATGAACGGCACGAGGAGGGAGAAGATGAGCAGGTTGGTGGAGCCCTGCTGGGCCGGTGCTGCCCGGAACAACATCTCCAGAACCACCGGCTGCCGTGCCATGGACACGCAGATCTGGTGGGGGTTTACACAGTCACAATTCTTAACAGTAATATGGTCTCCTGATTTCAGCGAAGCGCCCTAGTTTCAAAGTTCTGGGGAAATGGCATGCTCATGAGAATGATTCTATAATTCAGTTCATGAGGTTTTAGTGCAGAGCTCATATGAAATTGATAATTTCATCCAAATTTAACGTTCTTTCCTTTTGCACACATATTGCAGCAGAATTAGCAAGGTAAACTTCCTGTGGAGCAAACTTCCATCTAAAGTAGTCTACTGGAATTTCTGGAGTTGCCTAGCAACACGACTCTAGTCAACTTGTGCTGCTTTCTGACAAAAAACATCTTCGAGATGTTGACCATATGTGGGGTATCTAGTCTCAATCTAAAAAGCCTGTTCTCCTCTTCAGATTACATTTTGCTTATTGAGCCAGAACAACAAACACCTCCTGATGTGGGTTGAAGGTATCTATATGCACATTAGAGACGTGTGTAGACTGAATGTACCTGGTTGAGCAGCAGCACCAGGCTGTTTTCCAGGGCTAGAGGGCAACCGAGATCTGGGTTGGCGCACGCTCCCAGCAGCCTCAGCAGCGGGTGGAGGACGGCCGTGTGCTGCAGCAGCGACTGCTGCGACTGGCCGATGAGCATCTCAAACAGCTTGAGCAGCGCCCCCTGGCTGTCGGGGTCCAGGCCGTGGCGGAGGTGCCACTGGACCAGGCGCTCCAGGATGTTCTCGGTGACCACCAGCTCCAGTATGGGGCCCATGGGCGCGATGCCGGCGCCACCCTCGGGGCTCTCGACAGGCCGCTCCTCTGCCAGCAGACACAGCATCTGGTCGGTGTGATTCCTCACCGCCGTCAGGTCGTCGCTGGAGGACGAGGGCTCCTGCTGCTCCAACACCCACGAGAGCTGAACGTAGGAACATTTTGACGTGTCAAAGCAGGAAACGTGCAGGTGTAATTAATGACATTAGGAATGGCTGGATTCCATTTAGCTGCTTCGGTTTCTCTGTATCGTCTTATTGTGACCGCAGCTGTATCCAAAACCGCTATATTTACTGTCTGCCATTGTACTCAAGTGTTTCTGCTAATATTCCCATAATGCAATGGAGCATAATTTTAAAAACAACAGGACTTGAACCGAAGTGTTTTCCGGTTCAGGCGGATGGGTTATTAGGCGCCTCTATACAGGTTTACACAAGTCAAAGGATTCAACGGTGCATAAAAGGCAATAAAACATAATTGAATACGATAAAAGAAAAGTAAAAGAATCTTTTCTTTATGATGATAGATATGATGCACGGTCAAATCTGAAAGCATTCTTCCCTCTGTGTATTTTCTACTTTTAAAGATATATTAAAAAATGCATATTCAATTTATGCAAAATCATTCTACGTAATATACTAAAATCTAAAATGCGTTGACAGATATTACAAACGCAATACAGAGTCATTCGCAAGTTTTATTTCTTTAGGATAAAATGTACCAAAATGACATATTTGTGGTGTTAAAACAATAAACGTTTTGCAACATTTGTCAACAGGTCTAGCGGTCGGCATGTCTGCAGCACCGGTGCCGTTGCAGATCTGAGAGCAGCTCGTGCAGAAGCAGTGTGGTGAATGTTGCACAACACATGCTTGTGGGTTTTTTTTGTGTTATTATCTCACATCCACGTTCATGTAACTGGAGTATGAGATGTACGACTTTATCCCGACCCTCCACTTACAAACTATGACAACATGGAGGATTGATATTTCAATACAAAAAGGACAGGGTGCGCCAGTTTCCCCCAAACCAGTGCATGTTGGGTGCAGTACTCGGAGTCATGTGGAGACATGTAGGAGTGCTTTAACACCGTGTGGATATGTGGCAATTCAGCTGCAGCTTATCCACCTATTGAGACTGCTGTCTGCTTCTTGTGACACGGCTTTCTGCGTGAACTAATTAATAAGGCGGAACGCAAAGAGTCTGGTCTGGAAAGAGTACATCTGCAAAGCTTAGGCAACACTCACGCCCCCCCATAACAAACCAATAGGTACCACTCAGAAGTCTGATACTGCCTCTGAGGAAAGTCTCTGGTCGGGCAGTGGCCCGGCTCTGTAACCCATAAAACATCCAGCCAGTGATTGGACACGAGCCAGTCATCATGTTGAAGTAGCCCGGCCCCTCTCGTCAGCGCTGGCAGCAGCCAGCTGAAGGTGTGAACATCAGGACGGATAATCATTCACACAAACGAAGGAAAAATATTCTAACCGGTCTCGCTATCATTTACTTTTTATCTGCTTAACAAAAAAAAAAAAAAAAACAACATGCAAATATTTCTCAACCACTGTGAATGAATAAATGACTGTGCGGGGGGGTGTAACACATTTTGTGCTGAAATGAGTAACCTTTATTTTTTTCAACTGAAAATGAAGTCAAGCTACAACGTGTTCTCAGATTTAAGGATGTTCTGCGTTTTTCCGTTTCATTATTTATTTTATTGTAAACTGAATATCTTTGGACTGTTGGTTGTAAAAAAACAACGAGTTCAACGAAGAAACAACCCTTGAGTTTTGGGGAATTGGGATTATCACCTTTTACACTGTTTTGACATTAAATAGAATAAAGTGTTATACAAAGAAATAAAATCTAAGTTGGGCCACAATCCCCTCAAACAAAATCATCTTTAAAGTTTGGAGAACTAGCTTTTACTAGTTCCTGCTGACAATGCACCCCTGCATGTACAGACAACCATCACTGGATCATTTTGATACCAAAGAAAATTTGAAAAAAAAAAAAAAATGTTTGGAGTCTTGGAGTGACTTTTTTTTTTATTCTACGATTATTGGATTCGTGGATGTTTCTTTGCCGTAACATCAGGTACGATGATGTCCTCCCAAAGTGGAAGTCACGCTGAATCTAAAGTGTGTGTCTGTGTGTTCAGATATGACTCAGAAAAAAGGAGTGAGAAGTGAGCAACACACCCAGGGGAGGTACGCCTCACAGTTTCAAAACCTCCGGGTTAGATGGACACTTCTTAGAACACGAGTCTTCATTTTGTTCATCATTTATTTTCAAATAATGAAAAATACTTTCATATTTTCAAATAAGTGGTGAATAATATTCTAAGTGGACATCGGCCTGTGTGGCTGCTCTGTACACTTCACGGTGAATGAAAGACTGAGACCAGAATGATACAGAAATCCCACAAACTATGTGATTGTATGTGTCTCACCTGTCTCCAGTGGTTCTCAAACACCATGAGGCAGGTCTCCGGGTCGGCGGTGCAGGGGCCGGAGGGGGCGGAGCTCCGGCCCGTCCGACTCCCGGGACCCCGTGGGTTCAACCTGCTCAGCCAGCTCATGCCGGCGCCCGGCTAGAGGGGCGGAGTCAGACACCACGAGAGACTCTGAAGAAGAAAGCGAAGAAAAAGAAAATCGAGAGGGGGAAGAAAAAAAGGAAAAGATGTGGGGGGAGGAGGTGGAGAGGGAGAAAGGGGGAGGGGAGGGAAAGTATATCCACACAGAGAGGAGGAGGAGGAAGGGGGAGGAGGTCTGCTGCAAAACGCGCTGTCACTGCCAGTCAGAGTACATCCAGGAAGAGCCCACTGCTGCTGCTGCTGCTGCTTCAGGTTCTGTGTGACCCCGTCCACCCTGTAGACCCTGTCATCCGGTCTGGAGCCAACACCCCCCCATAGCCAGTCAGGACGGCCCCTCTGCGCTGTAAACAATCACAAGACACATCGGCATGTTGAACTGCAGCTTCACAATCTATCTTTGAAAGCTCCAAAAATGATAAATTCTGTTTGTTTGTTTTCAAGTGTAAATTACCTGAAAATCTGTCTGTATTTACATTAGTTTGGCTCTCAAAATGTCCTGTTTTAGCCTATATACATGTCAAATACTGTACATATACATTGTAGAAACTTTTCTATAGACAGAAATAATAATAATAATAATAATAAATACCCAGATGGGAATATCTGTTTTGACTAATTCCAGTGAGTTTAATGTCAATGATATACGTCTGCGTTCAGTCAGACATCCATCATCTGTGCCGATGAGCGTCTGTATTGTTTCTGTGTTTTCCTGAAACAAACACATAAGTGAGCCTTTTCAGTATGTCGTTACCAGGGAAACCCATTCAGTCCATCTGTGGAAAGGCTACATCCCCCTTCATGCTCAACACGGGAGGAACGGTCTGTGCTTTAACTTGAGAATATGAGAGTTGTGTGCAAAGTATGTTCTCTGTTGATAAAACATCTGGCTGATCAGTTTTGCATGTTATCGCAAAGAAATGGCGAAACACAAGAGGAAGCGGCCACAGTGCACAGGTGAGCAGTTTGCAGTCACGTTGGAGAGACAGAAACACCTGCGAGAATCGAACCAATGCCGGTTTGTTTCTGAGCTAAGGGATTATGGAAAATAATGCCAGTTGAAAATCTCTTCCGAGTATCAAATACTCTCAACCTGGATGACAAACACTGTAGTTTTTCCCATAATGTCGCTAAATACACTGCTTCCGCTATCACGTCCTAAAAGCTCCAAAAACATCTGCCGTAAGTAGTGTATCTGGTTATTTACTATGAGGATTATTTGGAAAGAACTGAACAGATGGCTCAACATGTGGATTATGCTGCAGGAGTGGCTTTGATGCCCAACATCTGAGGCCAACAGGCCTATCTCAGACTAAAAAGATATTAAACATCAAGAGAAACCGTTATTATGAAAGTGAAAATGTATTTCTGTGAAATACATTTTGTTCAAAGTTGACGTCACAAGCATTGGTTAGTGGTGAGGAGAGGTATTTCTGTGACATCTGTTTGAATAAAACAATAGGTCAATGAGTTCAATGCTATTAACAAAGTGTAGAGAAATAAACTTTAAAAGAAGATTTCCTTTTTTTTTTTCTATTCATGGTCACATAATGTGGACTAAAGTCATGGGACTTGGACTTAGGTCAGACACAAGCACCAGATCTCATGACTCCCCTAAATCAATACAGGACCATGTTTTTCCTTATTACCTTACGCAGGTAAAATGTAACGTCCACGCTTCTTCTAATGATTCACCAGTCCCTCGGCAGGCGAGTCAAAGTTAATGATAGTCGTGTTGCTCAGAGAAAATACTGTTTTTCTTTAAATCTGCCAAATGAATTTAGACCCAGACATGATGGGGGAATGCTATTTCATCGACAGCAATTTGACAGACTTTGACAAAACCATCAAAATATGTGTTTTATTTTCATGTCACACACATACAGCACCATAAAAGTCACCCATAAAATGAGCTCAAAGTTCAGCTAAAGCTAAGACAAGGGAGTTTATCAAAGGTAAGCCACAACACAGCTCCACTTGACTGTTGTATTCTCACACCACAATGTCTAAAAGCAAACATAAACTCTCTCAGACATTCAGACAGACTGAAAGTGGTTTGCTTCCAAAGTTTCTTGTTTTTTTTACAGTTATTTTAACGGATGACTTCTGTGTTTTGCAGCGGGTAGAGGCAGCGAGCTGTAGTAGCAGCAGCTGCGACAGATGTGCGCAGACTCTCCGTTCACCTAAGGCATATCTTTTTTTTACGTCGGTGGCAAAGCGGATCCGAAACACAAACACCACAGAGCGTTGGTACCTATGTGCTACCTGCAACGCATATCATTCATTTCCTGTCGCCTGTTTACTGATCTCTTGTGCCAACAAACATTTCCTCTCCGTAAACAACCACCTCTCACTGTGACAACCAGCTTCACAAGACGTCTCTGTAAAAAATAAATATTTTTACCGATATGGCGCACAAATCACAACCTTATTCCGAGAGAGTCGATGTCAGCCTTGCAAGTTAAATGATCAGGCACGAAACAAGACATAAATACAAGATATTAGGTGACTCTTCCAAATAATTTAACCAAGTGAAACTGAACAGAGCTCAAATGCAGCAGTTTGCCAATGTTTCAGAATACAAAGGAGATCGCTGAAATGTGCCAAAAAGAATATTCACATTGGTGAAACTGTAATCAGTTAAGCTTTGGCATTGTTGCTCAAATTTTAAAAAATAAATACAAAATCTCCAGTCGATTGACTTATTGTTTCAGCTCTAATGCAGTCTAATATTAGCTAAATTATTCATAACTCTTGACCATGCTTATGAACGAATTGAGATGCATTTTAAAGATCTGAAGAAGAAGAAGAAAAAGTCAGTAAGAGTTCAGTTCAGGAGTCTGATCAAGCATTTGTTAAAAGTTTTCAAGGAAAATGTATTGGTATTCAATACCCCAAAACTCTGAACTTAAGGAAATGCATATCATAATAAAATATGTTAAAAGTACTGTACACTTAATCAGAGTGTAGCCTTTGATCAAGGTATCTGATCTACAAGTTTTAGGTGAAAAAAGATGAGCGATTACTGAAGGATTGCGTGTTTTTGCCTCGGCTGACAGGATGAGTACCACAGCATCTCCGTGACTGAGTTTCAGGGAGAACAACATCCTCCAACGTCCACACACGGACCCTATCATCCAGAGTCAGCCATCAATCAATGTAGTATGTTGGGGGTCATGTGTCTGACAGACTTTGGACGTTGGCGCACCTCACCAGCACTTAACCATCAAATACGACGACCTTGCCTTTAAACCGATTGGTTAATTAACCGTTATCTTAACGGTATTTTTGGCTTTACACCTGATCTTGTAGTCATCACCCTGCGCCACATCTCATGTTAGCCAACCCGAGCGGCGTAGGCTGGGAAAACAACAATCAGAGATGATGTAGCAAGCTAGTTGGTAACGTTTCTGCAAAAAGATAATTAGCTAGCTTCGAAATGTCAACAATGTATGTGCTTAGTTCACCAAGTTTGACATATCGATGTGCTTTAATAGAAGGTAATTAAATAGTGACTCACCTTTGATATTTGTCAGAGTCTCAACAGTTGTTGCGAGGTCCCAATTTCCACGGATACCTGCTAACTTAGCCGGTGTGCTAGCGCCGCTGGGTTGCTAACGACTAGCCGCTAATGAATTCCACAATGTCAGAGCAGTGAACGGGTGAGCAGCGCGCAAGTAACCTGGAGACAACTGGCGAGCTAGACCGCATTGAGCGGGGGCAGCTAACACATTGACCACTCCTTCAGTCGGGCTGCCGTGCATCCTGTTAGAGACAGATAAACATCCCATCTGATGATTTCTCAAACACTCGTCCCTTCCCCGCAGCCATCTTAATTTGACTCCTCCCACACGACTTGTGACTCACACCCACAGCGACGCTGCTGCTTTTCTGTGTCACCCTGTTCGTGTGTGTGTGTGGAGGGGCTTCAAGTGTCACAATTAGGTTGATATCTGTGACCCAGTTCCACGCTAACGCGAAATTGTGCATTGTGTACTTACGGCTCTATTGTGGCCGTCAGTAGGCAACACGAGACGCTGATAAAAAAAAAGATGGGAAATCACATCTAAAACCACGAGGACCGAGCATCATCCGACAAAAATACTCAAGAGTCTGCTTATTAGCTCTCCGTGGTGCTTTCAACCATATCGCACCGTCTTCATAATTTTGCTCAGCTGTCATGGATCCATATGTTTATCATGTGTTGACTTCTAATTAAGTGTCATATCCGACTTTTATAAAGTTAGTGTGACAGATATAAAAGAAGAGACTTGTCCAAATCAAAGCAGAAGAAGCCGAAATACCCTGACTTTAAGTCACTATGGGTCAAACTCCACAAACGCTGGATCCTACATTTCCCCTAATACAACTCAGTATATCTTATCAGACCCCCTAAAGAACACCCTTAACTTGGCTGTTTATGGTGAATAACACAGAAAACACAGCAATGTGTATGTGTTAACCTCATTTCAGCATTGAATGACAGCAGCAGAAGGTTTGGCTATACAAATATAAAAAACAGCAAAAACCAGGCAAATACTAAACCAAACCAGGGATAAAAACACCAACGAATCTTGGAGTATCAAACCCAAACTGAGATAATCCATAATTTCCTTTTTAATGTGGCATAGATACAGTAGCTGTAGTCCACTCTGTGTGTTTATTGACAGTGACACCTTCCCTGTAGTTTGGGCTCTGCTCCCGTTATTGTTTGTTGTCTCTAACAGCCCCTGATGTGCAAAGGAAGACCTCTCTCTTTTCTAGGGGAAGAAAGAATTCCTGGAGGACACATGACATCTGTTGTGGTTTTCTTCCATGGAGACCTGCATCACCAGGCAGTCCTCAGTCCTCAACACCTGGTTTGTTGTCAGGTGAACCACGTCGCACTGCCCGATGCAGGTCAACAAGGTTGTTTCATTTATCGTACGAGAAAGGGCAACGTTCATGCAGGAGGAAACAAAAGCAAAGGTCATGCTCCCTGAATGAAATGTGTTAGTCTGAGGCTACACTTTGGAGAATGGATAAAACAAGCAATGTTAGTAATGGAGGTAACCAATGGCAGAGACTGCTCAGGTGGCAACGGGGGAAGAAAGTGTCAGAGGAAGGAGAGGATGGAGTCAAGGATGAGGAGAAACGCAACACCAATCTGGATCTGAAGTGGGAAATTAAGTAAGTAATGAATGGATCATAATCATGGAGTTATTTAGTAATTACAATTAGTGTGACGACATTCATTATTCATTTATTCATCACTTCTGAATTGGTGAAGAACAAGCCTTTTGATGAGAAAATGAATGTCCTATAAGTCAGTTAATGTATCTAATAGAAAGTATTTTTATCCATAATAAGAACATTTTTCCGAGATGTATATTCTTGGTTTTGAATCTTAATTTGTAAGGTATTTAAAAAAGAATCTACCTAATCATGTGTCATACCTTACCAACAAGGCAGTGTGGACAAAATGTAATTATTTCCACAGAATCCTAAAGACGTGTTATGTATGTGAAAGCTTTCAGAATCACTTCATAGAAAATTTTAATTATGCTCATCCCATTAGACAGATCAACATGTACTAATACTTTTACGGAACATATACTGTCTATGTTTTTGAGTATTTAAGGGAAGACACCCCGGGTGAATAGGGAAACAACATAATATATATCACAACCCAGGTAACTGGCATTCAAAGATTATCTATTGTATTACATGTTTTCTAAAATATGTGTTTAAATATGCAAATTAGGTATTATCTAATATATATATATATATATATATATATATATATATATATATATTATATAATAATACAAATTCCTGTTTCATCCACAAATAATGCAAAATTAATCAAACAGCCATACAAATAACAAAATATATATTTTTTAAAGCAAAACACCTAAATGTGTATTTTGGATGTTTTCTTTCCGCTAGTCTGTCATGGAAGCAAAATCACCCAAAATCTCAAAATTGATCAGTGCATGAAAAATTATGTTTATGCCCGTTGCACCTCACTTTTAGAAGTCATGCTGTGACAGATGGAAACATTAAGCTTATTGTTCATGTAGATATGAGAACCAAACAAAAACACAATCTCTATGTGACAATTCTCCTCACGTCACACCGACATCATCATGACTGACAATCCTCATTTGCCTCTCCTTCTCTCTTCATCATCATTTCCCCATCAGCTGGAAAGAGTGGGTGGTTGATCCGGCAGAACACTTTTATTATGTCTGGCTACAGGTCATGATCTTCCCCGTCGTCTACAACTGGGTGATCATCATTCTGAGGTAGAAACATGGAACATGGAGGATATCAAATATTAATCACACATCGAAGCATATAACCTGTCTTCAGTATGACAGACGTCATCTTATTGGTTATGTTTTCTCAGGACATGCTTCACTACAATTGCATTGAGCTACCTGCCTGTTTGGCTCACACTGGACTATCTGGCAGACCTCATGTATTTGGTTGACATGATCATCACTGTCCACACAGGTAAATATTCTTTTATTATTATTTTTGTTGGTTTTGATTGAGACTTTAAAATAGAATACAACTCTTCAAATCCAGCTTTTATTTGTCACGTGTGAAGTCATAGAAAACGTGAACCATGAAAGGAACACCAAGTTTCAGCCGAGTTGTAATGAACTGAAATAGCATTTTTAATTTATCAGTCATCAGTCATAGCATTAATTGGTTAATGGTGTATTTGTATTACATGGGAGTTAAAACAGAGACTGTGAAACTCAGATTTTTCTATCTAGATCCTTACATGTATGGCCCGCATGAGAGAAGGGAGACACAGGAGTAATAGAACCAAGACTGAGAGGGACAGCCTGTCAGACAGTAAAATGAAACGGTTTCTGAAGGATCTCCGATGCTCTCAAAAGCTACCGCCTTTGTCCACAGGGACTTCCAAAACCCTCAGAAAATTTAAGTTCCTCATAGTAACTTTAAAAACAATCAATGGATATCGTGATGTATTGACCATGTACAGTAAGTCAATTCAATATGCTTTAATGGCAAAAACGTGGACAACATTTCCAAAGTATTATCGTACATGAGCAACTCTGGAGCAAAACAATCATCTTAAGACGTCAGATGATGAGAATGATCGAAAGTCATATACTATATGGGAATCTTTTCCATCCCTACCTCCCATTCATGATGTGAAAGCAGTGGGCTACTAACTCTTTCAAATCAGATGGATTTAATATCTCAATAAGTAGTGACAACCTATGCTTTGACTTGGTAACAGTGTAGGAAGTGTACTCTGGGCTTTGTTAAACCTTGTTCTTCCCTCTCCAGGTTACTTGGATCAGGGCATCCTGATCAAGGACGTCACACAGTTGAGGAAGCGCTACCTGCACTCTAAAAGTTTCTTAAGGGACCTGGTTTCCCTACTGCCCACCGACTTCCTCTACCTTGTCTTTGGCATCCAAGCTCCGCTGGTGAGGATCAACCGACTTGTCCGTATTCCACGACTCAACGAGGCCCTGGATCGCATGGAGACGAGAACCTCCTACCCCAACACCTTCCGCATCTCCAAGCTCATGATCTACATCTTTGTGTTGATCCACTGGAATGCCTGTCTCTACTTTGCACTGTCCAGCTACATCGGCTTCGGAAGTGATCGTTGGGTTTACCCCAACATGACCAACCCGGCGTTCGCCTCCATGCGTCGTCAGTACTTTTACTGCTTCTGGTTCTCAGCCCAGATTTTCACCACAGTGGGAGACACCCCCCTGCCGAAAAGGGAAGAAGAGTACTTGTTTATGATTGCAGACCTGCTCATTGCCGTGCTGGTGTTTGCATCGATTGTTGGCAATGTTGGCAATGTCATCACAAGCCTAAGGGACCGTGATAATGTGTTCTTTCCTAACCATGAGCTGGTAAGTTGGAAAACCTCAGTTTCTGAAATGAATCTTCTTCCTGACATTTTCTGTATGTGATACAATCTTGGAACCCATTGGCTATTGATAAGCCTCTAGGTGCAAGGGGCTATATTTCTGGGGATCCGGTGTAGCTAGTGGATATATGGGCCAAGACTTCATTTTACATGGGCTGCTGGTTGTTTAGAGTCCGATTAGCAACTTGCGATGCAAGACTGTTGGAGGTGAGCCAATGCGTGCCGCCACACAAACTGTTAATCTGCATTCAATCAAAGCCGGTTTGGTCAATGCCCCTGGGCGTTTGATACCAATGCAACTAACACCAATGTAAACTCACCTGCATCATGATTAGATGCTCAGAGCATAAGCGTGAGGTATTCCACACAGGGTGAAGGGTGGGAGGAAGCACAGGATTTAATTTTTTTTTATAAGGGACTGCAGTTCATGTCCCATATGAAACTAAAAGTAAACTTTGGCATGTCAGTCATTAGTCACCTGAGTTGTTTGTCACTCTGTAATGAGTCAGTCAAGTTAACTACCACGCTCATAGTTTGAAGCTTTGGGCCACTGACCAAGCTGCGTTATTTGACAAGTTGGGAGTGAGAATGTGCTGCAAAATCTTGTCCCGTTGCCGGAGGATTGCATGTGAATGCACAATCTGTTCATAGAGATGTGATATGACACAAGAAAAGGAATGGCAGATTGTGTCATGTTTAATTACATTCTTTGGCTCGAAGTCTTTTGTTGTATGGAAAATAAGGCTCTTCGTTTCCCTCTCTCAGGTTAAGGCTTACCTGCGAAGCCATCACATTAGCAAGGAGCTTCGTCAGCGCATCGACAGCTGGTACCAGCATCTTCACATCAACAAAAAGATAATGCGAGAGAACGAAATCTTGCAGCAGCTGCCGGTACACCTGAGGACAGAGATCGCTGTCAGCGTCCACCTGCCCACGCTCTCCAAAGTCACCATCTTTCAGCGCTGTGAGAAAAGTCTGCTGGAGGAGCTGGTGCTTAAACTAACGCCACAGGTCAGGGGGAAAAGAAGGTGAACCTGCTGCTCCCGGGTTCATCGAATGCATCGTAAAATGCTTCCAGAAAAGAATTGTTCAAGGATTAAGATTAAAGGATCCTCATGCCTTTTGTCTCACAGGTGTTCAGTCCGGGAGAGTACGTCTGCAGGAAAGGAGACGTGGGCCATGAAATGTATATCATCAGAGAGGGAAAACTTGCAGTTGTAGCAGATGATGGGGTCAGAGAGTTTGCTGTCCTGACTGAATCCAATTTCTTTGGGGAAATTAGTATCCTCAATATCAAAGGTAAGTTAATTGTCAAGTACTTTGCACATGGTCATACTACATTTATTAATTCATGCAAGTGAGGGGGAATGGGCCAAATCTTGGCACAATACACGCAGAAGAGAGTTTAGTTAACCTAAGTCAACAATGCAAAAAGGTAGAATGCTAGACTTTATGCTGCAAGTATGATTTGGAGGGACAAGAGTAGTCTTCTTTTTGTGGTGCGTTTGGACTTTGCGAATGCATTGGGCTTATGAAGGGAAGGATCCAACACTCAGGAATGAAGCATTTGCTATGTTAACATTGGTCAAGACTGGACAATTTGGTAGATGATTGAGTGACAGCTCAAATGAAAGGTCAGTCGTATAACTGTGGTCAGAATGGGGTGATCCTGTAGATGAACAAAACGAAAGGAACTTGATGTGAGAATGGAAAGCACAGAGTTGAGAGACACCTGTAAAAATATGATTGACTTTCTCACTTAAAGCAACATCAAGAATGTTTCCCTAGTGTTCCTTTGAACGCTGAAATTGGCCTGCTTTAGATAATTCTTGGTTTTTATTTAAGAAAATTCTCACTAAAGTTGAAAAGAAATCACTACTTGTTTCCTTTTAGGTAACAAGTCAGGCAATCGCCGCACTGCCAACATCCGCAGCATCGGCTACTCTGACCTGTTCAGCTTGTCCAAAGAAGACCTGACGGACGTGTTGTCCGAGTTCCCTGCAGCCAAACGTCACCTGGAGGAGAAAGGCCGACAGATCCTCACCAAGATGGGCATGTTGGAGGAGAGTGGGGAGCGAGAGGAGGGGGAGGCAGAGAAGGTGGAAACCAAGATAGGCAGACTGGAGAGCAAACTGGAAATCCTGCAAACCAAACTAGCTCGACTTATGTCAGAATTAGAGTCGAGCAGCCGCAAGATGCAGGCCAGGGTGGAGCAGCTGGAGTGGGAGGTGGCAGCCGTGGAGCCCCAGCTGCCAGAAGATGGGGAAGGAGAAAGAGAAAAGGGGAGAGGTGAAGGGGTGGGAGGGGAGGTCAGATGGGAGCGGGAAGAGGCAGAGGGGGAGGCAGATGAGGGTTTGGATACAAAGGTGAAAAAACAGGGACAGGGAGAGGATGGTGATGTGACCAAAGAGGGAGATGGAGAGAGCACTAAAAGTACAAAAGAGGACGTGGAAAGGATGGTGGAGGGAGACAAATGTGGGCTGAAAGACCCGGAGGATCAGGAAAAGAAAAAAGAAGATGGCGGAGAGAAAAACAGAGAGAAAGGAGATGACAGACCTGGGAAAGGAGATGGGGCTGAGATTGAACATGAAGATGAGAAAGAAGAGAAAAGTGGAGAGAGAGCATCTGAAGAGGGGAGAGAGGTTGAAGAAGACTCAGAAAATGTAGAGAGGGAGCAGAAAGATGAAGGGCAGAAAAAATAATGAATGAAAAACAAAAAAACAGTTCATTTTTTTCATTGGGTATTTCTTTGTTTTATCTTAATAGAATTATTTAAAATCTTAACATCTCATTGACACACTTTCTGCATTACAACGTTGTACCCCTAGATGGCAGCATTGTATCCCCCACATTTATTCATAATTTCATTCCCATGATAATACTAAAGTCACCCATATTCCCTGCAGAGTTATTTTTTAAGACTTCTGTCTTAATTATGTTGCATACAAATACATTGATACATTATAGATAATAGTTTTTCTTTGACTCCTTAAAAAGGTACAATATGTGATCCAAAATGTAAACAAACAGGTAGCCCCACCACACCACCAAAAAAAGGAACCTGCAGACAATAATCCCATATTATAATATATGATAATATGACACTGTTGGGAGCCATTCTTCTGTAATATGACTACTTTTACCTGATCTGAGGCTTTAAATCGCACATTATTTCAAATTATTTCCAACATGTCTTGTCTGATTTATATTATTGTTACTGCTTTCATCTCGTATTATTGCACCATATTTTATTATTTTAAAATATATATTATTTTAATTTTCTCCTTTTATTGGCCTTATTGCAGTCAGATATGTTTAAATCAGTGATTCTCAGTCGCGACCCGTTTTCAGTTAGTTTTTGCCTGACAAAAAAAAAAAAATAATAATGTTGTGATTTTATTTTGAAGGGCATTTTTTTATGCAGCGGAATTATTCCAGCATTTACGGCACTTGTTCAGCGGTGCAGGAAAAACACCGACCAATGCGTTGTGAATCACATCACGTGATGAAGCTCAGCCAATCAAATATGGGTATTCTGACAAGTTTCCTGACTTGAGTGAGATGTACACACACCGTGACACATGGGGGGGAGACAAGGAGATATGAGCAGAGCAGGACTATTTATTGAGGTGTGAGTCATGAAAGTCAAATAATAGGACGATCTCCAAAAGAGAGAAATGGCCAGAGAGACCAGAGTCATTAGACTCTGAAGAATTCACCTATATGAGTCTGTCCAGTCAAACACTAATTTCTCTTTTTAGAAGATGAGAAAAATATAATATTATGGCTTTTTCACTCCACCCTGAATGAACTGAATTTAAAGCTGCAGGGCAATTCAGTGAAAATAATTTTGCTAAAATGAATTTCGTTAAGTAATTTATTTTTTAATCCAGCTGTTATTTTACTTGAAATGAGAAGAACATTTATTCATGTATTTCTATGTATTATTTATAATCCATCCAGTTCAATTTGAAAAGTGAGAATAATAATTGTTAAAATATAATTGATGTGTACTTTCTTTATTTGATTTGACAGTTGTTTACAACACAGAGACGTTACTACTACTTAAATCATGTCATACGTGCTGTATAAATAAAGTTTATGATGATTACTGTTATTTTTATTATCTACTTTTTGTAGTGCATTTTACAGTTAATACTTGTACATTAACTTAACTTACTGTGACTGAGAACTTTTGTAATGTGGTATTGCTATTTCTACTTCTCAAAACACCTGTAATGGGTGTCATAAAAAGCACAGGTCGCTCCTTTAATGACGGAGAGTTTACGTACTTCCCGGAAGTGCAGCGGGGACACAGGCCCCATCGAGTCAACACAACTGCATAGATAAGCACTTACTAATAATAAAGCTCGGTTTGTATATAATTTTCATGGAGTACTACCGCTAACACATATGGAGTGTCAAGAGGAAAAGCCGATCATCTATACTATGGAAAACAAGCCGATTGTGACATGTGAGTGTTTATTAAAAAGAAGACGTTCAGTCTTATTTGTTCTGGTCTTGACAGTTCGCCAGCTAGCTATGTTCAGTAGCTCGTTTTAGCTAAGCTAGCAGGTACCCATATTAACCAGCTTGGAGGCACTGCGTGTGTGTTGCGAAGTGTGCTTGAATGTCCACTTGTCAAGGCTTTAATAGTTTCATACTCGCACACTAGAACATTGTCTTTGATAAATGTCCACATGGGAAACGGCATATCTCTCAGCTAGCTTGCAGCTACATTGATTAACAGGCCTAGCTAACGATATAACGTCACGGCTAGTTGCTACAGTTTTTGGGAAGGATATCACCTTGTTCCCTGATGGACAGCCACAGTTTCCACCGTTAGCAGCTCCGACAGCAGCCGCCACATGATGTTTAGGGTGGTGGGGTCAGCTTGCCATTCATAAATCCCTTGGAATCTCATGGAAGCTTCTTGGAGGGGTTATTCTTAGGAGCCGACTCTGGTAGTGGGTGCCAGCCTCATCTCAAGACGCAGGCTGCTCCATTTTTAGCACTGAGCGGGCCAGGTAACAACCTGGCCATCCTGAGGCTTAGCAAGTGTCCTAACTCCGGTGTATGCTTGTTTTTGCATTGCTGATTAGATTCAGAAATGAGCAATTTAGTCATAATGACTTCCACCTGCAGGTTGTTTGTAGGTTCATCCATATTCCCTGAAGAGTCTGGAGCCACAGTGTACAATAATGCAGAATAATAATAATAATAATAATAAACATAAATCTGTAAGGATTTTCAAACAGTGGCTTATTTCTGAGAGTCGCTGGTAATTGTTGGAAGAATTTGTGTAAAACTGATAAATACTGGACACTTTGCATGTCAAAATATCTAAGAAATGTATTATGTTCTCATCAATCATTGATTTAAATCACCTTCGGACTGTACGTTTCACTCGGATGAAGTGTGGTTTATCCCCCCCCCAAAAAATAACCCCCCCATAGATTTATAGACTTATGAATAAAAGACTTGGATCTAAGCTTTTAAATGTGTAACTCGTTTTGCTCTGTCTGCTTTTGCTGGTGTTCCCCTGCCAGATGAGCAGTGTTGTCCTTTCACTGTTGACACTTTGTGTAAGATGGACTTGCCCGTGCTCACAGGGATTGGTGTTTGCGTTGCAGGCTTGTATTTGATAAGAGTTTTTGATAACCTTTGTGGACATTTAAAGTTCACTTTTGTTCGGGCGATGCTGGAGCTTTAACACACTGGAAAGATTTAGCCTGTAACATAAACTTAACGCACACGGACGCATTTACTAAATAACACACACTGGATCACACTGAAAGGACTTTGAGAAAAAGGCCACAGTACGATTGTACATGCAAACTACTTATGAATATATGAGGCAATAGTTTTGTCATACGCCGCGCTGCAAAACTCCACATTCGGTGATGTTTTGTGTTAAAAAATAGTGGGCAGCAAGGGGAGGGGTAATTGATTTATAATACAGTCAAATTGTCAGCATATTAAAAGCTTTTTACATGTGGCCCAGTTCCAGTGTAGCTGGAACAATTACTTTATGTGTCACTGTTCATGAAAACGCACACAGCTACCATGGATGACAGTTTTTTTTAATAAGCTTTTCATAAATGGGGCACCATTTGAAGTCACTTTATTGTTAAACTGAGGATTCTACCGCTGGTGAGGGCCTGGTCCACCGACTTAGTCAGGATTTGGAGGATGGACCAGGTACTACTAGGCCAACATCAGCACTTCCATCTCATATTCACATTTTTGTTTTGAAAGTGCATTGTGTTTGCGTGCAGTGCCACAACAAAACTGTTGCAGCACTTAAGGACTGCTCTCCAAATTGACATATATAATATACTTATACGTAACTTAAAGGGGCCATAGCATGAAAAACTCACTTTTTTTCGATCTTTTGCATATATTTTTGGGTATCTGGAAAAAATGTGATTCAAGGAGCCTATCATATGCAGACCCCCCCCTTATCTGAGAATCTCCACCAATGACTTGAGAAATACCTTTGCAAAGTTGCACCATATTTTTCTTGCAAGCCACTCGGAGCATACTGGGCTTTTTAGTTGAGGGTCTTAAAGAGACAGGCGCAAAATCGGAGCGTGTCAGACAGAGGGGGAATCTATTAACACAGACAGGATAAGAAAAATAATGTGTTCCGTGAACATTAGAGGATATAAACATGTTCTATTAGAAACCCAAAATAGCAGTATGAACCTGAAAATGAGCATATGTCCCCTTTAAAAGCACTCATTTGGAGTGAGCAGCGATTTCTGTTGAAAAAGACCAAAATGTCCCCTAATGTCAAAATCCTTCCAATAGGACTGGCCGATGCAGTTCCTGTTGCCAGGTTTCTACGTAGGATAGGCTCAGCCTCTGTGCAGTGATATGACATGGTGATGAAAAAGGGGCAAACTGTGTTTGTCAGGTCAGCTGCACGTTTTCAACAAGAAGCTCCCTAAACCACAATAAGAGCAGAAAGCATGAAATGTGCATGGATGGATCAAATGCAGAATAGAGCTAATGTCTTAAGCTTTTTAGAGGCAATAAATCAGCAGAAAAGAGAAGTGACTGTTTTAGAAGTGAGTGATTAATCAGTTACACAGTAGGATTTAAAAAAAAAAAAAAAAAAAAAAAAAAAAAAAAGTGATGACCTTTTTCTATTAAAAAGTTGCCTACAAGACTGATGAAGAAAAACACAAGCGAGAAGTTAGGGCTGGGCGATAATTCAATGTGATAGTTCATTGTCTTGATGAAATCATATATTGCGACACAATTACGTCGTCTAAATTGATAATGACAGTCATACACTTCTAAAATCTGAATGGTTAAGAATTATTTTCATGTAAATACCCCAGTGTATCTAAACCAAACTACTGTCTTAATGTGATTACTCTGTTTGTTTGAATGCATGTAAACATAGTCGGTATGTAGCTAGGAATTTCCATTCATTTTTTTTTCTTCTTTAATTTCACTTGATACTATTTATGCTCATTTTGCACTAAAGTTCTGAACTAAAAGAAAAGCACTCGCTGCTTCTCATTTGTCGAGTATGTAAGTGTACAAAAATAGGATTTACCATATGTTACGGTTATATAGACAATTCATAACATGCCATATCGTGATATATATTTTTATCGATATATGAAATTACCTATATTGGGATAGAAGATTTTGGCCATATCGCCCATCCCCAAGAGAAGTAGAAATATCAACACGGTCTGAGAGGAAAAGTATCTTTGTGTTTTGGAAAGAGGGGACAAACCCTCCCTCAGTGGTAAAAGAGGTTTCCTGTAGATCCAATAGAGAGGCTGAAGCTGACTCCTCTGGGCTCCAGAAGAGAGTGTTAAATCAGACTGTCCTGGCTGAACCTCAACATCCTTTTACTACATCCTCATTAATGAAGATGACCTCTTGTTGGATGTGTTTATCTGTGTTTTAATGTCTTGGACAAAGACTATCAGAGGTTTTCTGGAGTCGAGTGGTTTGAAAGCAGATAAACTATACTGCATCAGCTGTCCAATGAGAAGGCTGCAAAGCAGTTGCACTCCCTGTGTTACGGCCTATATAGTGTGCCTAGGGGTACACTGGAAGTAACATAAAAGGTGATGGAAAACCTTGGCAAAAGTTTAACAAACACCAAGATGATAAGGCAGCGGCAATTAGATACATTTATTAACAGTATAGATGAACAGGAACAAACCAACTAAATAAGGAAGCATAGCCGTCAGGGTCTCCAAGGCCAACATAATAAACAAAACCCCCATGCTAACTGGAAAAGAAGAGGTCAGCTGGCCTATGAACAAACAAACACAATACTGAACTCCCTAACTAGTCACAATAACAGGAGGAAACTTTACAAAATAAAAGGCAGAGAACCCCTACAAAGCTTCCATTAAGTTTGAACCCCAGGTATGGCAACACAAATGCTCTTGGTAGCAGCAACAGCAAACCCACAGCACCACAGGCCCAGAGTGAACAAAGGGGGGCCGGGAAACACTGGATTCGGGGGTTGATATGCAGCTCCACTGATGAAATGAGGACTCTCAGGTGTGGGTGCTTCAGTGATTGTCAGGGGGCGTGGCAGACCTGAAAGACAAACAGAGCTCTCTACTAGAAAAGAGGCATGGTTAAGTCATGGGGCGTAACACCCTGGTACACTTCTTATCCTCGTAATTTCCAGACTCGCTGTTTTTGGATCTTAACTGTGTTGAGTGTGAAAACATCAGTCCAGTGGTGGAATGTGAGGAGAGCAAAAAGATAGACCTCTGCTCTTCATTTAGTTCTTCAATGTTGTCAGTTTTTCAGTAAGTTAAGTATTCTTACGCACCATTATCACATTGTACTCCAGTTTTTCACTTGAGGTTTTTTGGGGTATATTCTTTGTGTTTACATTAGTATGATTATTATTATGTGCTAAACCTATTTCGCCCAAAATATCCTCAGTGTCCCTTTACAATGAAACCTTGAGTATTGAGAATGTGCAGATATTAGATTTAAATATTCGTGCTCTTTGAGTTCTTCATTTCTGGCCTAACGTTGAAATGCTCTTTGTGTCGTCCCTCTCCTCACAGGTGCTGGAGACCAGGGCTTGTTTACGTCTCTCTATACCTCATTGGCCCAGCAACTCCCCAGGGAGCCAATGGAGTGGAGGAGGTGAGTGCTGCCCTGGTGAATGCAACATAGAAATACATATTATTGTTTTCATTGTTGTTGCCGCCGTATCAAAGAGGTTTGTTTTGGAGGATTTTGCATTTTTTGTATTTGTTATTTTTTTTGGTAAAGGGGTCCAACATTTAACATCATCACACCATGGATTTTGTATTTATTACATAGCCACAATAAACAAAAATTGCATTATATTCACAGTAAAAGACAAGAAACATGCGATATGAAGCAGCGAGTGCAAGATGTGCATAAATACAAATACAAAAGACATTGAACTAGACATTTAACTGGCAGTGCTCGTGATTTTGAATGACTTATTGACATATGTTGGTGTTAATGCAGGTCACTCGATCCAGACTGCAATAATGCACTGCTGTGTATGACGTTATAATGCTTTCTATGATGACTGAACAAGGGAAATCCCCTCGAATTTTAAGTCAGATGAAGTCCCTCGGGTATGTTGTTCTCCGAGCTTCTCCTTGCTTTGTTGACATAGCCCAGCCAGCTTTTAGTGCACGTGAGCGTGCCCCGCTGGTTAGCTCACGACCGCCGCTCTGCACTGCGTTCATACGGCGGTTATAGCTGATAGACGGCGTCCCGACCAACAGCGTGGTCTCTTACCCTCTGGTTCGCCCTCAGTTAAGCACTGTTAGCTCTGTCAGCACTTTCACTGTCGTTAGCACTGTTAGCACCGTTGGCACCGTTAGCACTGTTAGCCAGCTCACGGTCGACATGTTGAGAGGCAATCCAAATGCTCCCTCTTATCTGGCAGCTTTTAAGTGTTTTCTGAGCTTTCCTCTATGATATCTGTATTGATATTCCATTTAAAACCTCTTACCACTCCTGTAAAATTTGCCTAAAACGCCTATCCAAGGCGTACCCAAAGTAAACTGACAGCTCTTATTGAACCATTGGGAGTACATGTATGATTTTAGTCTCTATTGAACGGTAACACTCTGAAGTTTCTTCACAATCAGTCAGAATCACTGTAAGTGCTACTGGCATTGAGCTATGGAGTTTACAACACACTGAAAAAGAAGGTTTTTATTTCCGCCTGGATTTGTTTTGGCCAACAGATGGCAGCAGTTATCTATGGCTGGGACTTATAAGCTGGAAAATACACTGGTACGGTAGCATGGAGTCATAGTACCTGGTAGAAGTTACAATTTGATAACAATACGACAGAAAATTAATATTTTATACGTGGTTTACTAAGAGTGCGGCCGCGTAAAAACGCATTTGGAGGCTCGCCGTCACCACGTCAAAATGCATATACTACGATAAACTACGTGTCTGAAATGTGAACTATAGTTTATTATATCAATGTATGGTTAACTATAACATATTTAACCATTGTCAACTTTCACAGATTCTTGAAAATTCTCATGAACCAGACTTTGCTCTTGATAATCGGTCTCAGGTACTTGACTCACGGTATTGAATTTCAGTTTTGAAAACTTTCCCAGGGTGCAATCTGCTGAATCTGCATATCCTTGTCTTCGTAATTTCATTGGCTATATGGAGCCTGAGATTCAATGGAATCTGTTGCGATTGGCTCGAGCTTTACTCAAAGAAGAGAGGCGGGCATTGTCTTTCAAAGCGGACTCTCGTTGGCTGTTCCAGAATGTGACCGGGCTATAGAAGCACCTATTGGGTCAAATGAGGTGTCAATCTAACCGGCGGAATGCAGCCTCCATTTTGCGATCAAAATATCCGCTCTGTTGACATGAAAAGTGAAATTATGACCGAATTATGATCGCGAGTTATCATATCTGCTGGCTAATTTGAAACGATGCAACAGCCCCCCGTGGGTCTTTATGGACGTACTAATGTGTTTTGGACTAAATCTTTTACTGGATTGGATCGAGAGGACCCTTAGCCACCTAGCAAGACCGTTTTTGCTGGACTAGCATGCCCAAGGGAGACGTTATGAATCATAATCGGTGAGTCACGGCGATATTTTATCGGCTATTTTTGGAGTGCTTGTTTGACAGAGACGTTAACTGTACCTGCTGTTGTTATTGTATCTTGAAATGGTTTGCATAAATCGAATTACAAGAACCGTAGCTTTCTAATGAGATATCACATTAATACTCATCTTTACAGAGCAGTTGTGTACATAACACAAATCTACACTTAAAACCTGTTACCACTCTGACGGCCCGCCCGCGGGCCGTCAGAGTGGTAACAGGTTTTAAGGTTATTACTCAGGAAGAAATTTGAAATCACAGAAGTAAACCCGAGATGAGTATCAGAGTTTTGATAAGTGACATTCTTGTGTTTTGATGTGTTTAGAAGGAGACGGTGCTGGTTTGTGAAGAGTGAGATCAACATCAGTGAATGAACAACCCCAGGGGTTTATTGTTGGAATGCTGTTAAGCATTCCAACTATTGTTCTTCAAATCTTTATTGTTGGAATGCTGTTAAGCATTCCAACAATAACTATTGTTATCCTAATCTTTATTCTTCTTTTTATTATTATTATATTTCTTCCGTCCCACCTCTTCTGCTCCTTCATATTTTAAGCTACAGAAACCGTTCAACTATCAAAATGTTCAGCTCTTTAATGACATTTATGCTATGACTTTTCATATTTCTATCTCTTATGCTTTATGAATTATTAAGCTTTTTGCAATTTTTATTTTGAATGGGATTTCTACAGACACCATTTCAACTTTAAAATGTTGAGAAAACCCTGATCTATTGCCACATTATTCAGCATTTTTATATCTTTTACACTTTTTGAACCGCAGCAATTTAACTTTTATGATTTTTCAGCCCTTTTCTGACTTTATAATGGGTGTGTATTGCGCAGCTTAGAGTGCGTGATGTCACTGCTAGAGTGAAGAGTAGCTTGAGATTCTTGTGAAAAAAACATTTGTATTTTGCCACTGTGTCCACAATCTTCACTCTTCATGCATCATTTCTGGATTTAAAAGTAGCTAATATTGTCCTTGTCGTTGACAAATGACTGTGGAATCCCACAGATTTACATATTTGGCACAGAAGCCTGTAGTTGAGAGGAAAACCAACTTTCTGCTCCATAGAGACCAATGTTAAATTTTGCTTCAAAAACATCTTCCACGGAACACGGTACCCCATTTCTAGATCGCCAGTTCAGCCACATTTTTTACACTACAGACACAATTTTTACAGGATCTGTTCTTCAACTCATCCTTCCTCTCATTTGTTAATATCGGAGCAATAGGAGCTACGGTTATGGGAGTTTTGAGGATTTGTTTGAGAGGTGTTTTCCTGTTTAATCTCCATGAAAAGGCTGAAAGGACACAGGTGTTTCTGATTAAGCTAATTAGTGATGTTGATAAACACAGAGAGGCACTGGCACACGCACATGCACTCCTCCCTCTCTCTCTCTCTCTCTGTGTGTGTGTGTGTGTGTGTGTGTGTGTGTGTGTGTGTGTGTGTCTCTCTCTCTCTGTGTGTGTGTCTCTCTCTCTCATACAGTCATTCAGGTCTTGGAGACTTTTAGACGACCCCCCCAACACACACACCCCATTTCAAAATACAACCCCCAAAGAGTGAATTCCAACTGAAATGCTTGTGATGAAGCCTGGCATTTAATAACCTCTGTTTATGTGTGTCAAACATTATGATTATGTCTCCTCTCCCCCCCACCCAGCCCCACCCTTTCAAAATAAAAGCCCCATGGTTTAACTGTATTTAAACAAGCTCAAAATTAAGCTTTTTTGTTAAAAAAATGAATGCTCTTACTAATACTGCAACAACTACTACTGCTGCTGCTAATATAGTATTACTACTACTGCTACTACTACTTCTACTACTTTTACTATAACTTTTGCTGTTGCAACTATTACTACTACTGCTACTGCTATTACTGCTACCATCAATATTATTACTACCACTACTGCTATTACTATCACTACCACTATTACTTATACTACAACTGCTACTACTACTACTACTGCTATTCATGCTACTAAAAGTAGTAATACTGCTACAGCTATTAGTACGACTGCTACTAGTACTACTACTGCTGCTACTTCTTCTACTGCCATTACTATTACTACTACTACTACTTCTACTACTGTTATATTAAATACTACGACCAATACTACAGCTATTACTATGACTACTGATACTACTTCTTCTACTTCTTCTTCTAATTACTAATACTTCTACTACTACTAATACTTTGACTACAACTTCTACTACTACTGCTACTACAAATATCACTACTGCTACAACTAGTACTTATTCAAATGCTGCTAATACTTCTACTGCTAATAATACTTTTACAACAACTACAACTTCTACCACTACTACAACAAATATCACTACCGCTGAAATTTTTTTAAGCTACAGAAACCGTTCGAATATCAAAATGTTCAGCTCTTTCAGGAGAGGGGTGCTATGACTTTTCATAATTATAATCTTTAAACTTTTTGAATTATTAAGCTTTTTGCACATTTGTCTTTGAATGGGTTTCTATGGAGAAAATGTTCAAATCCTCTTCAGCTTTCAAATCCTTCAACTTCCTCATACTTTCAGCTACAGACACCATTTAAACTTTAAAATGTTGAGAAAACCCTGATCTATTGCCACATGATTCAGTTTTTTTATATCTTTTAGACTTTTTGAACTGCAGCAATTTAACTTTTATGACTTTTTATGTCCTTTTCTGACTTTATAATGGGTGTGTATTGCGGAGTTTAGAGTGCGTGATGTCACCGCTAGAGTGAAGAGCAGCTTGAGATTCTTGTGAAAAAAACATTTGTGTTTTGCCACTGTGTCCACAATCTTCACTCTTCATGCATAATTTCTCGATGTAGAAGTAGCTAATATTGTCCTTGTCGTAGACAAATGACTGTGGAATCCCACAGATTTACACATTTGGCACAGAAGCCTGTAATTGAGAGGAAAACCAACTTTCTGCTCCATAGAGACCAATGTTAAATTTTGCTTCAAAAACATCTTCCGCAGAACACGGTACTCCATTTCTAGATCGC